GATGTATCCTTTTGAAAGGTTTTTCAAGAAGATGAAAGGGAAAGCAAAAAACAAAAGATATGCAGCAGGATCGATTGTTGAATCATATATCAATGATGTGGTAGCTTATTTCTCATAGCACTACTTTGCCGCACATATACAAACGAAATCAAGGTAAATGTTTAAATTAATCAAATTTCAAGACACATGTGGTATATATTCTAATGTGAATTACTTTTGACACATTTGGTTAGGTTAACAAGATTTGACGAAGGTGAAGTTCCCGTATATCATGTCTCTGGAGTACCTGATATATTTACTCACATAGGTCGACCAAGTGGGGAAATGCATGAAATATGGCTTTCAGAAAATGACTATCGATGCGCACATGCATATGTTTTACGAAATTGTGATTATTTTCAGCAATTTGAGAGGTATAATTTCGCATGTTTTCACTTACGTTTTACTATAATCCACTATGATGATTTTTCATATGTGTTGGTCTTATACAGTATGTTCGAAGCTTATATTTCTGCAAAATATCCAGAACTCTCTGAAAAAGAACTCTCCGCGAAAAGGGCTGTCGAATATAGTGCATGGGTGAAAGATTATGTACGTCTAAATAATATTCACATCCATGTATATATTTGTATGTATGTATACTTCTATATATTGATAATGAATAGCTATATGCAGGTCAATTACTGGAGCGCCACAAATTCATTTCCTGCTTGGGTTAAAGAGATAGTGCATGGACCCGTAAATAAGGCCAAAACCTGGCCTATCTATTTCACAAGTGGATATTTGTTTCATACGCAGAATCACGGCGAGGTACGAAAGACATGTAACTATGGCGTATGTGTTAAAGGAGAGAATTATACTAATGGATCTGATGAAGCTGATTTCTACGGGACCTTAACTGATATCATACAACTTGAATATGAAGGGATAGTTGGTTTGAAAATCACACTTTTTAAGTGTACATGGTATGATCCTGTTATTGGTAGAGGCGCTCGGAGGAGCAATGGTGGAATTGATGTTCGTCATCAAGAAAATACAATAAATACGAACCATTTATTCTAGGTACGTATACGTAAATGTCAATATATATATATATATTTATATTTATATTTTCATATATTGATATTACACAGCTTCTCAAGCGGATCAAGTTTGTTACGTCCCGTACCCATATACAAAGAAACCAAAGCACTAGTGGCTCAATGTTGTAAAGGTGAATCCGAGGGAAAATATTTCAGGAGAATACAAAAATAAGGAACCAATTGTTTTGCAACAAGAAAATGATGATGCTGTACTTTTGACTACAATTGACAATATTGAAGTCGGAAATTTTGTACAAGAGGTGAACCCAATAGATCTCGATTACGATGTTGGAGATGCAGAAAATGAAGATGAATTATAACTTTGAAATTTACTAATTTTGCTATCACTTTGTGTAATAAATATTTTAACTTTGTAAAATTTTAAGATTTAATATTTTATTCTAAACAAAAATCAAACATTTTATTAAGTGTTTGAAAACCAACATCAAAATTTAAAACAAAAATCAAAATTATTCAAAACTATATTATAACCAAAGCTTAAACAAAATTAAAATTTTAGCAAATCTATTTATACTTCTATATATTAATAACCAATTTTTTTTTTGAAAATTAAATATCAAATTTCATTTGAAAACTATTTTTCTAAACCAAAACTAAAATTTAAAACCAAAATCAGATTTACCCAAACCTAAATTTTGATTTCCCCCTAAAACCAAAACCAAATTTAAAACCAAAATTCCAAACCCAAATTTCATCAAAATTTGATTTCCCCCTAAAACCAAATCCAAAACCCAAATTTATGCCTAAACCAAAATTCTCAAAAACCAAATACCTAATACCTCACTAACCCGTCACTCTCTTCTTCGCTTCTTTCTTCTCTTTGCCGATTAAGAACCCTAATTCCCAAATCCTCTCTAATTGTGTGTTCAGAGATAACCTGCCATTCTTCTTCTCTTCTCCTTAACCACGATTCTCGAATCTCTCTTTCCCTCTTATTATCGAAATCTATATTCTATCTTTGTCTCTCAATTTGGAAACTCAAACCATCCACTCCCAAATCGATTTCACCGATGAAGAACCAAGGATGAGGCAAGCTTAGACGTCGCGGTGCTCCGTGACTAGCCGCTCTAAACATATCTCAGAGACCAGGAGGATCCACGCCGTCGAGAACTCCCACCCCTCTACCAAGCCAATATAACTTCACGCCATCGTCCCAACCTCCGATAACCGAGATGCCCCAACCTCGAGTCCCCATCTACTCACCTCAGCCACATTTCCGAGACTTTCCTCCGCCACAACAACTTTTCCACGATTCTCAATCACAACACTGCGACATCGGAAACTCCTCATCGCTTCAAAATTAGAACTCTCGTTCGCCTCCACTTCAGCCCCCTCCAGCGTCAAATCATCATCACTCTCGAGCTCAGAGCAATCGATCTTCGGCATCTCACAACATCCATTGCGAAGACGACGGTGAAGACGATGGTGAAGACTATGGTGAAGACGATGGTGAAGACGATGGTGAAGACGACGGTGAAGACGACAGTGAAGACAACGGTGAAGACGACGATGGAGTACCTCCAGCTGAGCCGGTTCTCCAGGAAGACCTACGGTGTCTTCTGAATTCTATCCTTCTAGTGCCAGGTCGTGAAAAATTTACCACCATGCTATCTCCTGAACGGAAGCCAAACACAACTTGGTATGACCCTTTACCCTTTCCGTTTCTTAATCAGTTTGAGTCTAAGTTTTATTGCAATTGAGTCTGAGTCATAGTTTCTTAATCTGCGATTTATGATTTGTCATATGCTTTTGTTCTTCTCTGCGTATGTTATGTGGTGTAAGAGTTAAATCGATTTGATTCGTTTTGTAGTATAAGGGAAATTGATACAAAATTTGGTTAATGCTCTGATCTGTATTGTTTTGCATTTGACTATTGCTTTAAAGCGACCAAGAGCAATCTGTAGCATTTAGCTCGTAGGAGCAATTGTTCAACGATTGATTTGTTTTAGTTCAACGATTGTCATATGCTTATGTTCTTCTCTGGCATATGTTCTGTAGTTGTAAGAGTTAAATCGATTTGATTTGTTTTGTAGTCTAAGGAAAATTTGTTACGAAATTTGGTTTGAAATTGCAATTCTTGGCATATGATTTTGTTCTTCTCTGCATATGTTCTTGGCTAATATTTGATATGTTCGTTTAAGGTATATATGAAGTGTTTTTGTAGATATGTAGTTTGATTTTTAGATAAGGGATTATGTGTGCTCTGCTCGTATAAGGTATATATGTTCGTTTAAGATTACTTACTTGTTTGTTATTAACTGTCTCTGTTTCTCTGCTTATTGCTGTAAGACAATCTGATACGTTTCATGTATCATTTTAGTGTTTCTGCTAATGAGTGTTTGTTTGCTTATAAGTATATGGACTCGTTACTTGATTTATTTTATTCACTTATTTGCTTACTATTTACAAATTGTTTTTTATTTGAAAGTTTGGTCGTGACAAAAGATCCTTGGTCCGAGAGATTACTAAAGTCTTTACAAACAAATTTGATGGTCCCTAATATAGCTAGAAAGTTGTGCCTCGGGACAGACAAGAAAGATTTTTTATTGAGTTCGCGGTAATGGTTTCTCTCCTCTTAATTTCCTATATATGTGTTTGCTTTTATTGTTTTCACTAATCAATCTCATGTATGCGAAATGTAGAAAACCCACACATGGTATCCCTTAATCTCAGGTACAGTTCAAAGGCAGTTTGAGAAGATATGTCAATGCCGGATGAAGGGCATGGTTAGCACTGTGCGCACTACCAGAAAACGACCCAATTGGATTGAGCAAAACTCTGGACACAGATGACCACCGAGTGGGAGACAGAATTAGCAAAAAAAAGGAGCAAAACCTATTCTAAAGCTCGTAAGTCCGACCGCAAAGGACTTGGTCCTCACGTACACTTATCTGGCCAGAAGTCGTATCTACAAATCCAACAGGAAATGGTAATTTACATTTATATATCTACACTTTCTATATATTTAACTTCTGCAAATTTAAACTCTTTTCATTATATAAAATTTCAGGAAGAAGAGTTGGAAAGACCAGTGAGCATTGGAGAGGTTTTTATCAAGACCCATACAAAACCGGATGGGACCTTTGTCGATGTAAAAGCCAAGAAGATCGCTGAAATTTATGAGAACAATGTCAAAGCTAAGTTGTCCGAGCTCGAGCCACATAATTCAGAAATGGTGATCCTCAACCTCACGATCTCCCCATAAATGTGTATAACGAGCTATTTCTGCTGGTAAATATACATTCTTCACTAACTTGTTTCATTTTTCATAGTCTATTATATATCTTACACAGTGCACATTATAACTTGTTTTCTTTTGGCAGTCCACTTTCAGGGATAAAAGAGGACGTCCTTATGGCTTTGGAAGCCTTAATCATTCTCATGTCAACGGCAAGCGTATGCACCCAGGAAGCTCTTCATGCTTTGTGACACTGGAACAACAACTAGAAGAAGCTAAACGTAAGATAGAAGAGCAGGTCGCTTATAATACTCAGCGTGATGCCGAGACTGCTGCCCGTGAAGCAGAGAGTTCGCAAAAATTGGCTGCTCAACAAAAGGAGATCCAGCGCTTGTCCTTGGTGGAGAAGTTCCTGCGCACAACTAATCCAGAGGTTGTAGACTTCATGGCTTCTCAAGCGGCTCCATCAAGTGCAGGTTCGACACAAAACACAGCTCCCTCTCTACTTCTTTCTTAATTTACTTCTGTTGTAGCCTTTGTACTGAAGACTTAATGGTTTTATGTTTTGGTAACTCCATTGTTGGGAGTTTTGGTTTGTAAACAAATGCTGTAGACTTAATGTTTTTATGTTTTGGTAACTCCACTCTTGGAGTTTCGATTTGTATAAACTGGTTGATAACTATGTTATAAATTATTTTGCATTTTGTATATTTGTTATTCTAAAGAACTAGTATTAATAATGAACCAAATGAGTAATTTGCGTACCAAACTAAATAACAATTCCAAATTTTAAAAACAAATAAGTCATTAATTAGTCACATATTAGTCAAAAAAAGGTTGCAAGATAGTGACAAAATAGTCGCAACTAGATTACAATTCTACATTTTAAAAGTTCGATTAGTGGCTAAATTAGTCGTTATATTCGTCACTAAATAGTCTCGTAGTAGTCGCACATTTTAGTCGCAACTTAGTCGGTGTATGGTCACTAGGTTAGTCGCAAATTATTCACTACATTTTGCGACTATTTTCTGACTATTTAGCAACCAAATACTGAACTCGCTTTTTCGTCGTAAAATAGTCGCAAATTTACGACTACTATGCGACTGTTTGATTTTGCGACTCAAGATCGGTGACTTTTTATTTTAGTCGCTAAATAGTCGTAACAATCGTATGTGTGACTATTTAGCGACTATTTCAGCAGTCATTAGTTGACTGTTCTCTTGTAGTGTTTTACCCAAAGACGAATCCTAAGCACTTCTAAACCCAAAAGTGAACCCCTAAGTCTACCATTTCCTAAACTCTACCCTTTACCCTTCTTCATGGCTGGGAAAACTTCTTCTTATTCCTTGTGTGGTTGCTTCTTTTTGGTTGGGACTTGCTCTTCTTTGTTGTATTGGCACCTTCATCACCTTTGGTTGATTGCTCCTGGTCTGATTTTTCTTCTTTGGACCTTTCTGAGCTTTGTTGCTGGTGTCTTTCTTCTTTGTACTAAGAGTCTTTTCTTCCTTTTACTTAATCACAATTCTAGACTGTTTCCCTTTTTCTACCGTTTCAGATCTTTTCCTTTTCTTTCAAAACATATATACATGAAGTTCAAACCACTTACACTACCCTTTTAACCCCAAAACTCCTATCCTAGAATCAAGCTCAAGATGCAAGCTGATATCTACAAGAGAGCTAATCATTGCCAACCTTATTCCTAACACTTTTTGCCAAGACAAAATCAAAAATACAATGCAAAGGTCTCACAGCTCTCACAATAGTGTTTAGGCTCAAAAGGAGGTTTTGGTTAAGAGTGAGGATGTAACTGTCCCATAAGTATGATGATCAGCTATTTGGATCAACAAGAGTTGTAGAAAGGAAAAAGATGATCTAAATATATATATGGTAGCCATGAATTTACTTTTCAATGCATAAGACATGATAATTAAAAGTCCACATTAAAGCTCAAGTTGATAGAGTTGATTTTCAGAGAACAAGTGCTTTAAGAATGAGGTGAGAAGACCAAATCTAGCAATCTAACCATGGTTAAGCCTTAACTTCTAGCAATCATATGATGCATCAAACAACTAGCCACTTAAACACTAAAATCATCTCTAAACACTAAGAACTTTACAAGGAAAGCTCGTCATAATGCCCTATGCAAATGCAATGCAACCTATATGTCAACATTAGACTCAATCCTAGAAGAATGAAATGCAACTACATGCTTTATTTTTGGTTTGCAAAAATGCAAAAATTTTCAATTTTTTCGATTTTTTGTGTTTTTCTATGTCTTACATGAATGCATGATATGCATGAGACTCAAAGTGAAAGAAAAAAAAAATTAAGAAAACAAAACACAAAGTCAAACCCCAAATCTCTCCCCCACACTTAAATTACACAGTCTCTTGTGTAATGAAAGCAATGAGAGAGAGAAGCACAAAATATAATACAAAACTGAAAAAGATGCAATGGTATAAACATAGGAGAGGATGTGGTACTTGGTTCAGTGGTAGGAGTGGTGGGATGATCTAGAGGTCTGAGGAGACTTGCTAGCTCTCCTCTTGTTTCTCCAATCATAAACCTTTGTGGAATGCTCTGCTTCTTGTGGTGGTTGAACCCAACTAGACCATAATTGCTCTGGTTGAGAAGAGTTCCCTTGTTGACCCCATTGCCATGTCTCTTGAACTTCAGAGGGGGTGGGAGTTGGTTCCCAAGCTGATGGTACATGGGTACTTGGCTCATAAGATGAAGCTCTTGGTTGTGCCCATGTCCCCCATTGATCACTTGGCTGTGCATGGAAAGAGTGTTTTCCATAGGGGTTCCATACAGCTTCTTCCTCTTCAGTTGGCACGTCTTGGTAAAGCTGATCATCACTTGGATTGAAGCTGATGTTGCTCCTCTTGGTGAAAGAGGTGAGCATTAGATTAGGGAGAAGGTCTTTTGCTGGTGTAATCAAGTCCTTGATGAATGTGTATACATGCTTTCCACCAATGCTTTTTTCGAGGAAGTGGCTTCTCTTGAGATAGGCTATATCAATCCATTGTGGCTCAAGAGCATCATCTTCATATCCCCCAAGGTCTACTCCATAAGAACAGCTGTCACAATCCCCCCCAATGTGGAGTTGTGGGCTTCTCCCATTTTTCACCTTGCTCTGAACCCAGCTTTGGTAGTAATGGAGCTGCTCCATCAGCATAGACACGTAGCATGGATATTTTTCTGGCGCCATGAGAGGTCTCCCATCTCTAGTGGTGGCTACAATATCATACACTCCCTGGTATATCAGGTCTATTTCCCTTCCTGTGAGATATGTTGTCTCCTTCCTTGCAAAGAGCGTGATTGCAAGTGCTTTGTGAGCATATCTCACAGCTGGATGCTTCAGGTGCTGATTCCTTGTTGTTCCAGGCATGAATTGCCCAGACCCAATAGCTTCACATAGTATATGGCGTGCTGCTTCCTGGAAATGTCGAAAGTGCACTGCTTGTTGGGGTAGGACCTTAGATCAAGAGCTTTAGCGATAGTCAGGAAGGTGGAGGTGAACCTCTCATTGCCAATTTCGAAAGAGAACCACCCGTCTCTATTTGGAAGCTCACCGTCTTCATACCAGACCACTTGGAGGGTGGAGAGAAGAGCTCTCCAACAAAGATGGGTGGATATCCTTCGAGCTTGCCAAGCAAAGGTTCACCACTACCATCTTTGAGATCTCCCAAGCACTTGGTCCGATGTCTTATGCTCACAAGAGGAACAAGTTCTTAATCGGCCAAAAGCAGCACAAGATGTTATGGGGCGTGATTGGAGCTGGGAATTTCATAGATGGAGCCACAAGAAATCAACATCTCAAGGATCCTGCAGTGAGGTATGCTCATAAGGCGCTTACAAATACATTTTTTGCAAGAAAGGAAACAGCAAACCTCACTGGAAAGAAGAGAGACTTCATATACAATGGGATGCATGCACTTGTGGTCACCAGCAGAGATGGAACACCTCTAGAGCCGCCAACCGGATCCCATGCTTTGTGACCATGCTGATGGAGCAGATCCTAACCTACAGGAGCTGGGTCTTGTACAAAGAAAAGAGGGAAAGGAACCCACAGCTCCACATTGGAGGAGTTGTGACAGCTGTTCCAATGGCTAGTGGTGTAGACCTTGAGGAACATGAAAAGAAAGCTCTGAGGCCATTGTGGATAAATATGGATTATCTTAGGAGAAGCCACTACATTGAGAAGAGCATTCAAGACAAGCATGTCTACAAGTTACTTAATGTCTTTAAAGAGCCAGCAAGAATAATCCTCCCTAATCGAAGGCATACATCCATCACCATGAGGAGCAATATCAGTTTCAACCCAAGTGAAGATGAGCTTTACCATGGAGGTCCTATCTCTGAAGAAATAGTAGAAGATACTGAGGAAGTAGAACCAGAAGAAGGTAAAGAAGAGGTTAGAGAAGAATGTGCAGAAGAGACTGAAGAAGAAGTACAAGGAGATGCTACTGCTGGCCCTGAAGGCCAAAGTGAAACCCAAGAAGAAGAGTTTGATGAAGACGAGTTGCTGAAATACAACTCTGAGCAGTTCCACTTCAAGCCTTTTGAGGTCCCAAGCTAAGGGAGCTCTCTGAAAGTTTCTCATGAGCATATCAACACCCTTCAGAAATGGTGTAAGTGGCAAGACAAAGCCATGAAGAAGCTGGTGAAGATGGTCAAGGGGAAGTTCAAAAAGAACAATGCTACATCAGGAGAAGCTTCCCATTAGAGCCACACTCATGAGTACACCTCCTACCATTAAGAGCCGATGCCACAAGCTGGTCCTACTGAAGAAGAGGAAGCTGTTTGGAACCCCCAAGGAAGACATTTCTTTCATGTACAACCAAGTGATCAATGGGGAACATGGGCACAACCAAGGGCTTCATCTTATCTCCCACCCCTTCTGAAGTTCAACCAACATGGCAATGAGCACTCAAGGTGATTGTACTCAAGCTGAAAGGATATGGTCAAGATGGGTCCCTCCACCTCAAGAAGCAGCACCATCTCCAAAGACCTATGAGAGGAGAAACAAGAGGAGAGCTAGCAAGTCTCCACAGACATCTGGATCATCCCACCACTCCTCCCATTAAAAGGTACCACATCGTACTCATTGTTTATACCATTGCATTTTTTTAAGTTTTGTATTATATTTTGATGCTTTTCTCTCTCATTACTTTCATTACACAAGGGACTGTGTAATTTAAAAGTGGGGGAGAGATTTGGGTTTTGACTTTGTGTTCTGTTATATTAGTTTTTCATTTTCTTTCATCTTGAGTCACATGCATATCATGCATTCACGTAAGGCATAGAAAAACACAAAAAAATCAAAACATTTGAAAAAATTGCATATTTTTGCAAACAAAAAAGAAAGCATATAGTTGCATTTCATTTTCTTTGGATTGAGTCTACTGTTTGCATATAGGTTGCATTGCATTTGCATAGGGCATAATGATGAATGTTCGTTGTAAAGAGCTTAGAGTTTAGAGGTCATTTCAGTTTTTAAGTGATTAGTTGTTTGATGCATCATAAGAAAGCTAGAAGTTAAGAATGAACCATGCTTGGATTGCTAATTTTGATCATCTCATCTCATAATGAAATTATTTGTTCTCTGAAGATCAACTCTATCAACTTGAACTTTAATTTGGACTATTAATTATCATGTCTTATGCATTGAAAAGTGAATTCATGGCTACCATATACAAATTTGGATAATGATTTCCCTTCTTA